CATCACTAATCCTTAGGGAAATACAAATTAAAATCACAGTGAGATATCACCTCACATCTATTAGAATGGCTATTATAAAAAGGCAACACATAACAAGTGTTGGTGAGGATGTGGAGAAAAGGAAACCCTCATGCACTATTGGTGAGAATGTAAATTTGTGCAGCCTCTGTGAAAAACAGTATGGAGATTGCTCAAAAATTAAAAACAGAACTACCATACAATCCAGCAATTCCACTCCTGGGTACTTATCTGAAGAAAATGAAAACACTCATTTGATAAGATATACACATCCCTATGTTCATGGAAGCAGTATTTACAATAGCCAAGATAAGGAAGCAACCTAAGTGCCTACTGACAGATGATGGATAAAGAAGTTGTATATACATATACAGTAGAATATTACTCAGCCATAAAAAATGAAATCTTGTCTTTTGCAACAACATAGTTGGACCTAGAGTGCATTATGCTAAGTGAAATAAGTCCAAGAAAGATAAATACTGTATGATTTCACTTACATGTGGAATCTAAAAAACAAAATAAGTGAACAAAGTAACTAAACAGAAACAGTCATAGATACAGAGAACAAACAGGTGTTTGCCAGAGAAGAGGGGTATGGGGTGAGAAAAATAGGTGAGGGAGATTAAGAGATACAAACTTCCAGTTACAAAATAATTGGGTCATGGGTATGAAATATACAGTGTAAAGAATATAAGTCAATAATCACGTAATATCTTTGTATGGTGACAAATGATAACTAGATTTGTGATGATCATTCTGTAATGTACAGAAATATCGAATCACTATATTGTGCACCAAAAACTTAGAGTGTTGTAGGTCAATTATACCTCCAAAACAAAGAAACTCATAGAAAAAAAAGATCAGATTTTGGTTACCAGTGCTAAGGAGGAAGGCTGGAGGAGGGAGAAGTGTATGACAGTGGTCAAAAGGTACAAACTTCCAGTTATAAAATAAAAAAGTAGTAGGGATGTAAAGTACAACCTGATTAATATAATTAGCAATGCTGTATGTTATATATGAAAATTAAGAGAGTAAATCCTAAGGGCTCTCACCACAAGGAAAAAAATTTTTCATATGAGATAATGTATGTCCACTAAACTTACTGTTGTAATCATTTCATGATGCATGTAAGTCAAAGCATTATGCTGTACACCTTAAACTTACACAGTGCTGTATGTCAATTATATCTCAATAAAACTGGATGGGAAAATAAAAGAAAACCTTTAGGCTGAAACAAGAACATGATTATGAGAAGGAAAAAAAAGAAGAAGAGATGAATCCATAGAACCTTTAAAACTTTGCCCTCAAAAATTTAATCTTGGGAAAGAAGACTGTTTATGTAAACTGCTATAAAGTTTTTCTTTACGAAAGGCTTTCCAGACTAAAGTGCTTTAAATGTCTTGATTTTTCTATTCACTTTAAAAGAAGCAGACTCTGGCAATTCCCCCTTATATGCGTGGGGGACAAAGTTTTAAATAAATGTTTCCGTAAGGGGTTAAAGAAGCTATGCTGGAGAAAAACATCTTTAAAACAAAAATAATCCTCAGCCAATCTTGTGGAAGAGTCATCCTGAATATAAAACTAAACCCCTTGTTTCTTTCCCACTTTTGTGGCAGAATGACATGAGGAATTATACACTGCGAATTATATACTAGAAGTTACAATGCACATGCTATCTTTAACATACTTCAGTTAAACAGAAAAAGCAAAAATAGAAGAGAGTAGTTTTAAGCAAATTTCTAGGGATAAACTTAGAGTTTATGAGCAAGGAGTTGTTGGTTTTAATTACATCAGAGAGAAAAATAGACCACATTTCCTGAGGTTTAAGGAGAAAAAAAAAAATCCACTTCAAGAGGTAACCTCATTCATAGCTGTCCTAAAATTTAAATCTAAAACCTTTGAGGGCATAGGTAAATGAAACCCTACTGTTTTCCCCCCAGATTACTCACAGAGTTAATAATATAATTTGGCAATGAGTCTTCAGGTTATCAGAAATTTTCAGTCACTGGCTCATAAGTTATCTTCAAGCATTCTTGTTTATAGCAGCTTAATGATAAGCAGCAGTGAGATGGACATTCTTTTTGCCTGACGGCACGGGGTATAGGAAGAGAATTCAGATGAAGAACATATTTCACATCGCCAGAGCTGACAAATGTGAAATATATGCCAGACAAACTCTGCAAGCTACAGTTTTTGTAATGAGAAATGCTGAAACCTTTTCAACGGCGCTGCCCACATTCGAGGGTTTTTCTTTTTTTAAATAAAAAACAAAGGAACTATTTTTCCTATACAGAAATTTTATTTTTCTTTATGACTTCTTATTAGAAAAAGGATTGACTGCTCAGATTCATTGAGTAATTTATCTGGATTCATGCTGTAAATGGTAGAAAATAAGGGTACTCCTATGGAGTAATATCTCATCTAGTTTGAAAGTGAAAAATGAAGATATTGGAGAGAAGAGAACCGTTTGTTCAAGAAAGTTTTAATCAACATCTGCCTCATGCCAAGCATTGATCACAGCCATGAGGATGTACAAAGATGACATAATAACTATTTCATTTACTCATTCATTTATTCAGATACTTAAAATGTGTATTTATCATTTAATGACAAGGCTTGGATAAGACACTGGGAATACAAAACAATATCACAGAGCTAAGTTTCTCATTGTTGGAGGTGGGAGTTATGAACATGGAGAGGGACTAGAATGAATCCTGGGGTGCTGGATTTCAATGGAGTAATTAATATGAACTCTTAGATACAGAACTTTAATTTAGACATAGTATACATACACACACATATTCCCTAGCTCAGTCTGAGAGATCTGAGACTTGAGATGGTCTAGAACCAATGACACGTTAGTAGCAATGAGCACACCAATAACTTACATCTTGGCTTTAAAATACCATTCTCCAGTAAAAGGCACCAGGGCACCTGAGAAAAAGAGTGAGTCCAGAACGGGGGCAAGGAAAGCACACAGAGCACCTAGAACATCTTGTTGTACCGGAAAGTGAGAAATTCCCAAAGAATGATAAAGACATATCAAAAGGACAGAGGAGCAGTTTGTAGGAGCTCTCACTGGCCAAACCTGGACTAATTCCAGCATCAAAATAATTAATGACAGTAATGCAATATAACTCCTTGAATAAAGTAAGAGTCTACGAGTTTGAAATAACATAAATTAAAAATAAAGAAGAAAAGAAAGTTCTTCCTTAGAGTTGAATGCCAAGTAATAAATGTGGAAGAATGGAATGATGGGTGCTACGTCTATTGAGTCAAAGTTTGAGGAAGGACAAGATATTTACAGTTTCAAAAGACCTTCCTACAAATTACATATCAATTACAAAGGAAGAACAGTAATTTTACAGTGGAGGAATTTGATGGATAGAATTTAGCCGAGTGACAAATCAGTGATATTTGTAGAAACTGATGTCATGGGCCGCCTGATAAGATGTCCTGAGAAGGGCACAACCTCCCTTCTATGGTTTTTCCACCAAAACTGCCCTCAGTTTGGACACATTAGACAGACCCAAACTGAGATTCTGCAACATAATTGAGCTCTACTCTTTAAAATAGGTTAAGGTCAAGAAAGGAAAACAAAGGCTATATAACTGTTTCAGATTAACGAAGGCTAATGAGACATGGAAATTACAGCTGATGTTTGAACAACACAGGGGCTAATATGCATATAACTAACAGCTGGCCCTCCCTGCCTGTGGTCCCTCGGCATCAGTCAGAGACAGAGCAGTACTGTAGCTCTGACTACTGAAAAATACCCATGCGGAAGTGGACACATGTAGTTCAAGCCCATGTTATCCAAGGGTCAAGTGTAAATGGAATGTTTGATCCTGGAATAAATACCAGACTGAGGAAAAAAAGGCTATAAAAGATACCACTGAGGCAAGTTTGGAAAAGCTGAATATGGACTACAAATTAGAAAACAGTATTATATCGAGGCTAAATTTCCTGGTTTTGATAACTGTACTGTATTTTATATAAGCGAATGTTCTTCTTAGGAACTGTACACTGAAGAATTCAGGGGTAAAGGGGCACCATGTTGGCAACTTTTTCTCAGATGGTTCAGAAAAACATTATACATATATAAACACGTTTTAAGTTAGAAAATCATCAGTAAATCTGGGTAAGCAGCATATGGGATTTCCTCATACTAATTTTATAACTCTTCTTTAAGTTTAAATTGATATCCAAATAAAAAGTTATAAACAAAACATTATAGCCAATTCACTCATCAATGTAGTCATTCAGTCAACAGTTAAGACTGTACTATATGTCAGACAGTGGACAAAGGTAAGTGGAAAACAAGATCCCTACTCTGGAGTACATCCCAGTCTTACAAGGGTTTCTAAGCCTTTCAGAAAAGCACGTTGCAGAATTATCTTCTTACCACTCTCTTTTAATGCAGCCAAAACACCTTATGAGGAAAATGTTTTGTGAAGGACTAGAACATCTTCCCCACTATACTATAAGTTAGATAATACACATTCCTAAAAATAAGTAAAACAGAAGTTTTGCTTTAAAAAATATTTGAGTTGTAATGGGATCTACATTGCAATACATTACTAGGGAATTTGGATTAGGGAGGGTATAACTTGCTTTATTGATGCCAAATATTTTTAAATGCCAAATTAATCACTCATTGTGATTTGAAAGAACAATAATACAATGATCAGGAACAACAAATGATGAGAAGATGAAAATATATTTATGAAATGGATGGCCTTTAGGTGTTAACTGAAAACAAAAAGTGGCAATACTTAAGAAAGACATGGGTTCAGACACAGAATAAGAGGACAGAACTGAAGAAATACACTCGAGTCATTAACACTTGTTGAATGCTTTACAAATAGGAAAAATTCTTACTTCACAGCCAGACTGGGTTTTTGAAAGACTGAGCAAATGGTAGTAACATCAATCAAAAATAAAGTAGAAATGACAATAGTGTACACTGACTGGGCACTTACTGTGTGCTGAGTACTTCACCTGCTTTATTCCACTCAGTCCTCATCACAACCCCCATTAGGTAGGAGCAATGCCCCCATTGCACAGATGAGGAGACTGGGTCTGGGAAGAGAAGTGGAACAACATGGTTAGTAAGTGACAGGGATGGGATTCAAATCCAGATTTTTCTAACTCAAAAGCCATGCTTTTAAACACTACATAATCTGCTTTCCTATGAGGTAAGAGGATGATTTCAGTCAAAATATCTGAAGATCTACTATATGCACATAACTGTGATAGACACTGAATAGAAGACAGCGAACAAAAGCAACAACATAGTCCCTGATTTCACAGAATTCAGAGTCTACAATATGTAACTGACTGGAACAACAGTGAAACATTAGTAGCCTTCTTGACAGTGAAATATGTTACCGGTCCTTAGAAGTTACAATAACATAACTATCAATGACTTAAAAGCCTTGGGGGAAAGTATCCTCAGAATTAAAATGTAAAGTCACCGCATAATAGAGGCAAGAACTTGGAGGCAGAATATTCCTGGCCACTTGGCTATGATTTGACTGCCTGTATTAACATGTCTAAAGAAATACATTAATTCAGAAGAGAGGTGCATCGACAATGGAAGTAGAGGGAAAAAAAGAGAAGGGCTGTCCAGGGACAGGGTTCTTTCACCCCCGGACAGTCACAGTCTGGAGATGAGCATTGCCTTAATGGATGTAGGAAGATGGAGGAAGATGTAGCCCAGTGCCATTAAATATCTTTAATTTTTATTTTTTATCTAAACAATCTATTTACATAGTTTAAAAAGTAGTTCTACAAGACATACAATGGGAGGAAAGTGGCCCCTACCTCACCTTTCTCCAGCTATCACTTTCTATTGTTTCCACTAGTACTTCTAGAAAACATGCTCATAATTGCTTTTTACAATTTTACATTTTAAGCATTACATGTTGACTTCCTACTATAGGTGATGTGGATTTAGCTATCTACAGCATTCCCTCCCTACTTTCTCAATATAATTACATCACAATTGTTGGTGAAATCAATATTGGGTGTTTTATATTATTATTATGACAACTGAACCATTTAAAGAATAATGATCAGATTTCCTTTCCTGGAAAAAAAAATGTTTCCTTCTAATTAGCTGCCTATTTTTTTTTAATTTGCTCAGTTTTCTATACATCTTCTCAATGATATGAGGATAATTTCAGTCAAAACATCTGAAGATCTATTATGCGTACATGCTGTGATAATGAACAAGACCTCACAGAGTTCAGTCTAGAATTTATCACTGACTGAAGCAACATTAATTTACCCCAAACTCTTCCTGGAACTCCTCCTACTAGTCAAACAGTAGACACACTGGCTTTCCTTTAATTATATCTTCTTTTATCTTCCATCACCATTTTATTTTCTGTCTCGTTGTCTTTTTAATCTAGTTTTTTTAGAAGATAGTCTCAATTTTATCTCCCAAACCTTCTACTGAAATAATAATCTTTTAAATACCCAAAAGCCTTTATTTATTCTTTAAATGATCCTTTCTAGAGCATCTTATTATTTTATAGATACAGTATCTTCTCTTACCTCTGAGGATTTTAATTAAAGTTTTTTGAAATGTCTTTTGCTCCTACATCGTTTCTGTTCCTTTCACATTCTTTTTTTTAAATTTTCCTGTTTGTTTTGGTTTCTTTCGTGTCAGAGGCTTTCCTCTAACATGTCTGTTAAAGTGAACAGTGAGACAACAAAAAGATGAATAAAAGCTATATATGGACGGTAGAACTTACTGACTGAATAGATTTCACCATTGCAAATCACCTTTTTCACTGGGGACTGCAGTGTGCCTACCTGTAGCTCTTCTTTCTTTAGCTCCCTTTCCCTGGAGATCTCCTCCATGCTCCTGAGTGTGTTTGCTGGGCTAGAGGGAGAGAGGTGGTAGTAAGCCTGGCGGCCTTCTGGGTGCTGCCCGGAAGCGGGTAGAGAGTATTACAACCCAGTATGCAGACTCTGATGTATGATCCTGTTAAAACCTATGTCAGACCCTGTTACCTCCCCTGATTCTGAGCACCTCAAATCCTTACAACGGCCAACAAGGCCCCACGTGATCTCCACCACCCACCCCATGCTCCTCATCTCTCACTCCCTCCAACAGCCAACCTCCTTGTTGCTTCAGGCCTGCCTCCACAGCAGGGTCTCTGCACTAGAAGTTCCTTTGCCTGCGACACTGCCCTGCGACCCCCACAGCTCGTTCCTGTTCCCTGTCTTCCAAGTTATTGCTCAAAGGACTCCTGCCATGCCACTTCGTTTTAAACTGCAACCCCTCCCACCCTGCCCTCCCTTTCCCTCCTCTATTTTCTTTTTCTGTAAATACTGATCAGCTTCTAACACACTATACAAATCACTACTGTGTCTCCTGCTTATTGTTTGTCTCCTCCCACAAAAATAAGAGTCTGTTTGGTCTGTTTTTGATCACCAGTATATCCCCAGTACCTGCAACAATGCCAAGCACATAACAGGTATATGCCCCTGTCCTCAACTATGCCCTAGTCTTCTGTTAGAGCGGGGAAAGGGCAGCATGCAGTACAGGCAGGAGCCCAGGAATCCTACTCTTCCGCATATCATTTTCGAACAATCCTGTCTTCAACTCCACCAGCATGCTGGCCTTCAGAAATACCTGGTACCCTCCATTTCTGTGGTTCTCCAGGGCTCTCCTCTTCAAATACTTTGCTTCTTCTTTGCTTCCACCCTTCAAACGTTTAGGACTCTATGTTCTCTGCTCTCCTGAATCAGTTAGTATCAGTCCATCTACTTTCCAGCTTCCAAAATTCTGTTCAACTTTCTTCTACTGTTGTCACCTCTCCATTCTATTACAGTCATTTCACTGGGAGCAGAAAGTGCCACATGTGGTCAATCTACCATACTTACCCTTACAGCTAAATATTTGAATCCGATAACCAACTCCCTTTCTTTACATTCCCTGCTCCCCAAGGAATCACCCTATGATGATGACTTCTTCCACAGGTAAACTCCAGTGCTAGCTAGAAAAATCATCCTATTTATTCCCTTTAGCAGGTAGTAACTCCACACACATTGGTCTATGACCTTGGTAAAGTCTCCCCAGGAGAGATATCTACTCTTAGGATGCTGACACACCACCAGCCCAAAGTCACACTAAGATAATACAACCTTAGAAGCCTCTCGGGAGATAGCCAGCAACCCTTTAGTTTTTCATTCATTTATCCATTATGCTGAATATTTTCATATTTTAAATTTCAACAGACTAGAGCTGGATTAGCAAAAATGGGGAGGCCCCCCAACAACTAGAAGATAAATATAAACAGATAAGCAGGTATATGGGTGGTGGGTAGACAGATTGCACAGAGATAATTTATAATAAATATATAACCTACCATTTGCTGAGTACCAAATATGCCCTAGGCCTTATGTAAGTACCTTACAGCTACCATATTATTATCCTCACACTAACTCTGTCATCTATTAGGCCATTTTATGAATGAAAAAACTCAGAGATCTTCTATCACTGGCCTAAGGTCACAGAGCCAGCTGAGATAAAGCCAGAACTGTTCGATTCCAAATTCTATGATCTTCATTTTGTACATACGGTTTTCAAGTATCAAGTAAGACAGGTTAAAATGCAAAATAATTCTGACTTTAACAATACGATCATTGGTGATAACATTTTGAATGTTTCTGAAAAATTCTACTAATTTTACAATAAGAATTCAAAGAAGCATGAAAACATAACTGTCCATCCAATTCAACATTCTGTCCCAAATGGAAAGCGGCATCAGTGATAGCTTGCAGTAGGAAGCAGCTGCCTTTCGCGACACTGACTTCAAACACTTGGGGCCAATCCCTAATACGTCCTTATTTTTCCTTAATGCCCTACTCTAAGCCGGTCCTCCATTGAATCATGTCTATCATCAAGGTCGTATCTACGACAGCCCTAGAACAAAGCCTAGCTGTGTCAGTGTAGCAAAGGGCCACGATCTCCAGTTGCCGGAATTTCAGGCACATTATCACTGGCTTCTCGTGGGAAAAAAGGCACACACTGCCTTTAAGTTCAGAAAAAGAAAATTGAAAACAGTAAGCCGCCATACCTGGATTAGTAATGAATGACAGCAACATCGCCTGGAACTATTAGTTTCATCTGGGCCGGAAGGAATCTCAGTGGAGGAATTTTTGGCTGCAGCTCTGCTATTTGCTGAGAATTTTGAAAATTAAACACTGATCCACTAAAAGTAGAATGTGCCTACGCAGATCACAGTAACGTGAAGGCAGTTGCAGCCAAAGGCTTATTTGAGTTCTAATAAAGGACTACATGTCAGAATAGTTTTCAGTTTTTCCAATTGAACTCAGTAAAAAATAAATGACGGTGATGGGGTTCAAAATATTCACACCCTGGAGCTGCCAAGCTAAATCATTTAATATCTTTTTGAACAGAAAAGCCTTTTCCCCCAGGACATATTTTTCAAAATATTAAATGTTCTGTTAGTTTAGCTTTCCCCTCGCAAGCAGCTGCATTCTTTTTTGAAACTGGAGAATGATGGTCTTGCTACTCCTATAATTGGAGAAAAATTCCAGGCACATTAGATAGGAAGCCCTCAAACTTTTATAGCTTATAAATTATGGTACTCTTAATATTATGCAAAATTTGAGTGAGTCAAAATCTCTTCAAAAGGTAGGGAGAAAAACATGTTCTGAAATAAAAAAAGAAGAAGCATTTCACGTTGCAAAGTTAAGCTAGTCATCTCTCTAAATTTTGTTTCATTAAACCTGGAAAGCATTTATCAACCAAATAATGTTAACTGAGAAAATCAGAATGCCGTGCATAATGAGGGCTCCTTTCTTGACTTAAGAAGTATGGTGACATGGATCTATCTACTGGGACATAATAACGACTTCCATGTGCTAGTCCTGTGAAGGTTAAAACTCATTATTGGCTAAAATATGTTGCCTGCTAAATAGTTCAGTGTGCTGGTTACTTCCATATATACTCTTCTTAATGAAGATAATATATTTTCCCATTTAATTAGAAGACTCAAGACTATAGCTTTTAGGGCTTTCAAATATCAATTAACTGTTTACATCTATCATTTCGAACTGGTCTCACAAAGCTCCCACAGTGTGGAAATTCAAATGTTGTGTTTCTTTTCCTTACTTTCCTTTCTACAAAAGGGCTGCGTGAGGAGAGGGGCACAGGAGGAGTGGCAGAAGGAGAAAAGAAGAGGGGAGCCCAGGTGAAAGGTCTTGATGAGGTGCCTCTTCATACCAAGAGCTGGTATATAAACGCTCTAACTCAGGAAGGTTCTATGACAAGGAATTCGTGTACTGTTTTCCAGTTCTTTGTTTTGCTTTGTATCTAGTTCCCTAGTTAAGGGGAATAGTTGGGGGGACAGGCAGAAACCTCTCCCTTCTTGACAAACCTACTCCCACTGAGAGCCCTGAGGGTTCCCTGAAGGGTCCCTAAGCTCCCAAGACAAGTCTGCAGATGATTTAGACTGAACTGCCTCAGTGCCCCAGAAAACAGAATGTTAGTGCTCTAGGGAAGCCACTCTCCCATTCCCCCAGATCTTGATCATCTCAAGAAGCTGGGTACCACCATCATACCCTTAACACTCGGGTTTCAAAGCACAGTCTTCTGGGTAGGCATACAATTAGCCATTTACAATGGGGAAAGAAAAACTGAATCAGACTCTTTAGGCTCCACAACAGGATCCTCCTCTAATCACCTAAAAGGAAGGCTCTAAAGCACACCACTCTATCACCTGAAAAATGAAAGGGTCTGATTCATTTTGGTAATAGTCATATTATTCCTTAGAGCCCAGAGTTCAGAGCTTTCTCCAAAACAGGAACTCTGGGACATCAGCTTCCATGATTCAGCCTTGTTAAAGGATCTACAAGTCAAGAAACTCAGTTATGAAAAATAATAAAGCTCTTCCAGCTTCACTCCCCTGTACAGGCGGCAGCCAACATCTCTTGCATATATGTCTACGTGTTTTCACCTCCAAAGCAAATTTTATGTTTCAAGGCACAAACATTTTTCGGATGACTAGAGTGCCTTCTTTTTGAAACAGCCAAAAAATCACGGCCTGCCATCAACTTTATTATTAAAACATAGAAAACAGATTCATCAAGAGTAAGTGAGGGAAAAAAAAAAAGTAAGTGAGGGCTTCCTTCTTCTATCAAATAACTAATGGTAGATGGCATTCTAAAGCAAAATTCAGACCCTATTCATTTCTTCACTGCACTTTTCACTATCTGTATACAAACACATATAGTATATGTATACATATATTCATATACATATATATATATATATATATAAATATATATTTGTTTTCCTCAAGGGCAAGTATCTGAAGCTCCATGTTAGTATTATGCACCCAGAGCCCAGCGTGTGCTAGGCACTCAGCTCATATCTGTTACATATGTATATGGTGCTGTGTTAACTAAGCTCCACACAGTTATGGCACCTAGTTAGTTAAGCCAAATCACCAGTATTTTTTTTAAGGGGGTGGGGGAGGGGGTTGTGTTTGTTAATTTGGTTTGATTTTTCCCCAGTAGAATCAAGACTCTTGAAGACAGGCATTTTCTTTTTGAGGTCAGAATTATCAGTGCAGAGATGAAGAAACGCTATTTTCAAAGGAATATTTTTCTTCTCTAGACTTTCACACATGATAAGATGTATGAAGAATGTGATACTTGGGTATCTCTTTTTCCTAGAGGAGTTCTAAATTTTTCAAGCTGTCATGATGATTCATGTGAATGATGATTTAAGTTAAGAAAACAACTCTGGCTCTTTGGCCAAATAGAAAAAAACATACTAAAAGTCTACATTACTGTTTTGTTATAGTCGACATGCCTTTCTTCAAAGGCTTAAAAGAAACCCAAAAT